TGTGATGCCCAGCATACTCGCCTGGTTGTGACCTATGCTCCTGACCAACCAGCTCTCAGTCAGGCTTCGCACACTCTCCCGTGTTCCCTGTTTCTCTTGAGTAGTACCCGGGACTCAGGAAAGCACTTACATTTACCACTGCATTGGAAAGGGTATCACCGTTATGAAAGATACACTTAAGAGATAAGTAGAATGGGTATCGGGGAAGGATACTGGCTTCCATGCCCTCTCTGGGAAAATTCTCTAGACGCTTCCATGAGTTCAGTTAACCAGAAACTCACCAGACCCTGTCCTTTTGGGTCTTATGGAGGCTTCATTCCAAAATCATGGTCATGAGTGATCAGCTCCCTTCCCTGCATGTTGGGGGTGGGGCTGAAAGGCCCAATGCTCTAATCATGCCTTGGTGACGAGTCCCCATCCTGCATCCATCCATTAAGCTATTAGACTATAAAAAGATACTGTCACTTTGAGGATTATGAGAATTTTAGGAGTTTTATAATGCTAGAAAATGACAGAAAGAACCAAATATACAGTTCACAGAATCACAGCAGTAAAGCTCGAGGCTAAGGTTTCAGAAAAATTGCTTATTCCTTCGTCATCATTTCTGTCAAAAGGAGAAGTCAAAGGTTAGGATGACAAGCGTCCTTTCAGCTGGGGACCTTGTAAAAGTCTAAGACTACGTTCTTACCATTTAGCTGCTGGATAGGTGTCCTGTTTCTCAATTTGGGAGATGAGAAGTCATCCTTGTAAGAATGCATTCCTACTGTTCAATCTCCAAGGTCCTGGTGCCCCCGTTGGTGTCCTCGTTTCTGTTTATTTCCAGAGGAAGCCTCTTCCCACTATCCAATGGCCCCTCTACTCTCACCGTCTGGGGTCAGTCACAGCATCGAAAAATAGGGGAGCAGAGAGAGAGCAGATGTGGGAGCTCTCAAAGACTCCAACTTGTGGTTTGACTCAAGGTCAGAGCGTCAGAGTTTATGTTGCTCTCCAAGGCTGTATAATAGGGTGCAAAGGCGTGGTTACCAGGTGTCTTATACTTCAAGGCCTAATCACAAGATGCTTTGCCGTGGGGCGTGGTTACCAGGTGTTTTGAAGGGTCTACACTTGGTTGTATGTTGTATGCCCTCCCAAAGCTGTCCTGTGTCTCTATCTTTTTTCTTAATCTACTTCTATATTTCCTATCTAGCATTTCTCAAATTCCTCACTTCCCCTTTCGAGGGATTCTTCAATAGGCTGGGGCTGAACCCCATCACTGAACCCCGACAAGCAGAGTGAAGGACTTTGGCCAGCAGGGCTTGCTATGGTGAAGGACACCACTCTGTGTCTACACTATAGATCTGATCTCTATAGAAGCCTCAGGTTCCATGTGACTGTTAAGCATCCAGAGTATAGCCAGTGTGGCCGAGAAGCTGGGCTTGTTAGGTTTTTAGCAAATTTAAGCTTAAGAGGCCATGTGTAGCTGGTAGCTATAGTGTTAGCACAAATTAAGTCAAAATTAAGTGTTAGTCAAAATTAAGAAAGTTATATGGCCAACTCTGAGTCATAGTGAAACAGTCCACATCCAGAAGAAATCCAGTCAATACTCTGGAAGCCTAACCAAGTAGCCAGTTCCCTGAACTGGTAGTTAGTTCATGAACCTCCATTGTTTCTTTTCAGTCATTTTAGTTTTAAAGGCAAAGTATTCCCGCCCCCCTGCTTTTTAAAAAAGAACTTTTGAGTTTTTGTTTCATTTTCTTGCTGATACTGAAGCTAAAAATAAAGAAAGTAAGAATATATCCATCTTGCTTCCTGTTACTAAAGTAAGATTATAGAGGTCTAGCTTCCTGTTACTGTAAGAATATATCTGTCTAGCTTCCTATTACTATAAGAATATATCCTTCTAGCTTCTTGTTACTATAAGAACATATCCATCTAGCTTCCTGTTATTATAAGAACATATCCATCTAGCTTCCTGTTACTACAGTAAGCACAGGAGCTAATCAGCTTATAAACATTTTGGCTCACAGTCTTGGAGGTCTCATTTTTATGGCAATAGTGTATGGTAAAGCAAAACCCCAACTGCATGGACAGGAACAAAGGGGAGTAAGAGGACAGAGCTAGGCTTCCACAGTCCTCTTCAGGAACATACCCCCAGTGACCTAAAGAACTTGCACGAGGCTCCATCTCTTAGCAGGTCCACACCTGCCAGCAGCACCAAACCGTTAACATATGGGCTTTAGGGGAGTGTTTGGGTGGGAACCCCACCTCAACCCCTGGCACCCCTATACCCAAAGAGTCTGGAATGTTTGGAGGGAGTCTGGTGGAAGACCCACCTCAACTCCCCTCCCCATCCCTTTCCCTTAACCTGCTCCTTCAAAGCCCGCCAAACACAGCTCCTCCCCCAGAGAGGCTCAAGACCACCCACACAGGGTATATAAGCAGCATCCACAAAGACAGGCATATGGTTCTTCCAGTCTGGCATCCCTGTCTCCTCTCTGTGGGCCGGGGAATTGTCCAGGAGTGCTTTACCCATTAAACTTGGGCTTTCCAGTTTGGTCTGATTCAGTTTGCTACATCAGCAGAGAGGCCTAAAACTTATCAGCATTTAGTACCAAAATCAAATAAATCATAATCATCAGTTCCATTCTAGACACACTCTTCTTAAAGAGCATCCATTAACAGGAGTGTGGTAAAGGGTGTCTAGGTGTCTGCATCAATGCAGTTCCCTTGTTGGGTAACTTTGGGTAAATTAATGTCTCTCTGCCTTGGTTTTCTCATTTACCTGTAAAATGAAAATTGTGTGTACCCAGTTCATAGGGTTGTTGGGAGGATTATGAGTTAATATATATAAACCTGGCAAAGCAAGGCGGAATACATACTAAGCACTCCAGACATACTAACAATGGTGTATTATTAGAGACAAACCTTTCTCAGGGATCGACATTAAGTGTGTGTTTTATGATGAGGAATTCTGGAGAATATGTTCTAATCAGTGAAAAGATAAATGAAGACTGTATTATTGAGCATTCTTTTGTTTAAAAAAATATATTTTTGAACACTTTATTTACTTACTATTTTTTATATGTTTGGGTGTCTTGTGGGTATGTGTGTCTGTCTGTGCATGACATGCATCCAGTTCCCGTGAAGACCAGGAGAGGGCATCAGATCCCCCAGGACTGCATGTAGATGCTAGGAATTGAACCAAGGTCCTCTGGAAGAACAGCCAGTCCTCTTCCTGCTGAGCCAACTCTTCAGCCCTTCCTTGAGCATTCTTACCATTCAAGAGGATAGTGTTAGGAGTATATTGTTCTCTCTCTCCTATTAGCTCTTTATTTCTAGTCTTGAGCTTCTTTTGTAGGAAGCAGGGTACACAAATGCCGTGCCTGCAAATGTTTGTGTAGAGTCATGTAGCTGAAAGATTTCCTGTGTCCCAGCCGGCTGGCAGTCGGGACAAATCTCTCCTACTCGTGTCCCCCAAGTAAACATGCAGAAGCTTACATTAATTAAAACTGTTCAGCCATTAGCTCAGACCTACCACTGACTAGCTCTTACATTTAAACTCAGCCCATTTCTGTTAATCTATATGTTGCCATGTGTTCTGTGGCTTTACCTGTGTGTCATTACATGCTGCTCCCTAGATGGTGGCCTGGTGTCTACTCCTCTGATTCAGCCTTCTTCTTCCAAGAATTCTCTTTGTCTCTTTATCCCTCCTATACTTCCTGCCTGGCTACTGGCAGTTTTATTTATCAACCAATCAGAGCAACACATTCACAGCATACAGAACATCCCACAGCACCTCCCCTTTTCTGTCTAATCAAAAAGGAAGGCTTTAACTTTAACATAGTAAAATTACATATAACAAACAGTTATCAAGCAAGAATTACAGTTAACAATATCTAATCTATTTGTATTTGGCAAAATTAAAGAAAATATTCTAGCTATCTTATATTTGTGAGTCTAAAGGTTTATATCTAATTTATCTTTTATCATAACCAGGGAAAATTATAACTATCTAGTCTTCAACTACATCAAAGACCCCCAGAAGGATATAATATTACCTAAGTAAACAGAAGGAGTATTATAAGCAACTTCCAAAAATCTAGAATGACAGAGACAGCTGGCTACCTGGAAAGTCACTCAAAGTTCCTCTGTGACGTTGGGGTATCCATTCTTCAGCCTACAGGCCTAAAGTCTCTCAGTCACTTTTCTCTGTGTCTTGTAGAATATCTGGCAGTTTCTTCTGTGAAGCAGGAACCTGAAGGACCATTTTGTTGCAAAGTTCATTGGTCACCTTCCCATGGGTCCTGCATGTCCAGTTGATACAACATTTTGTCAAGCAGTCTAGGCAGTTTCTTGCCCAAATGGCTATTTTTGCCAAGAAGGAGATAAATTCCATATAGAGTGTCTTGAATGCCCATCTTTCTCTTTGAAGTAAATCAGTGCTGCCAGGAGCAGATGTGCCTCACTATCTAGAAAGTCTAAGTTTTTAAAACATTTTAAATGCCATATTCTGTAGGTCTTTGAAGTGTTTGAAGACTACCTATCTAATTGAAATATATGTGTGTATAACTAGAAAACTTAACTAACATGACTATAAGTTTGATTATCATAGATGACTAATTATTAATCTATTTTTAATTATCCATTACAATTTCAAATGAGCTACACAAACATAATACCTAAAACAAGAGTAGGAATATACATACAGTATAACAAAATTAACTTTAAATTTGTATCAATAAACTAAAATCTACACCAATGTAAAGCATTTTAAACAAGTTGTTGCTCTTTAAAAGTAGATTCAATAATCTACCCTTTCATCCTATCATATCTATACTATTCCCTTTTCTTCTTTAGAATGAGATTGCATTTATAATCAATAACAATTTGTAACCAACAGCCTAAAAAAATACAAACATCTATAATTTATATTTTGGTAATGTGGGCATAGTTTTCTAGGCTACTTCTTGCTATAAAGGGCACTGTATTCTTATAGGGATCCTGAGAAAATTAAGAATATGGCCTGGCTAGCTCAGTCAGTAGAGCATGAGACTCTTAATCTCAGGGTCGTGGGTTCGAGCCCCACATTGGGCACCAGCGTCACAATGAAGGGAAAAGTTTGTCAACAGAAATCGAGTCAGAAAAATTAAGAGGCAAATTCAGGAACCCTGGCTTCTTTTGCAAGCTGGTGGTCATGCTGTGTGTTCTTGGCATGTGCTCACCCTTACTCTGTACTGACTTAAGTTCCTTAGAGTCTAGGTTTCTCCATTAAGTCTTCTTGAGAGCACACACTGCATTTGGCTTTTTTTTCCCCAACTCTTCTAAGTTCCTGTTACTGTGTCAGCACACAGTTCAGAGCTTAAGTGCTTCCAATTGGCCCAAGCATTTTATTTAGCCAAGGAGATGAAGCTGATGGGCTGTTTGAGGCCCTTGGCCAGTTAATTTTATGTACATACATCATGGGTTGAATGTGTGTCCTGGTTAGTTTTGTTATTGATTTAACACAACCAAGGCCACCAGGGAAGAAGGCATTTTAATTGCATTTGTGGAAGTTGTCTTGTGTAGCTAGGGTTTTCCCGCCTTGCCCACAGTCAGGACAAATCTTTGTCACCCGTCAGTCCCACAGCTGCTCAGACCCAACCAAGTAAACACAGAAACTTATATTGCTTACAAACTGTATGGCCTTGGCAGGCTTTTTGCTAATTGTTCTTATAGCTTAAATTAATCCATTTCCACAAATCTATACCCTGCCACATGGCTCGTGGCTTACCAGCATCTTTTCATGCTGCTTGTCATGGTGGTGGCTGGCAGTGACTCCTTCTGCCTTCCTGTTCTTTTTTTTCTCCTCTCTATTAGTCCTGCCTATACTTCCTGCCTGGCCACTGGCCAATTGGTGTTTTATTTATTGACCAATCAGAGCAATTTGACATACAGACCATCCCACAGCAGTCTTGATTTGTGTTTGATGTGGGAGGGGCCGGCCCACTGTGGTCGGCACCAGCCTCGGGCAGGTGGTACTGGGTCGTGTAAGAATTTGAATCTGAGCACAGAGAGCACATGCAGTAAGCAACATTTCTTCCTCCATGGTTCTGGCCCTGACTTCCTTCAGTGACAGACTGTGGCCTGGGAGTTGTAAAATGAAATAAATCCTCTTACTCCCTATGTTCCTTTTGGTCAGAGAGTTTTATCACAGCCACAGAAAAGCCGGCTAGAGCACTGTGCCTCTGAGGAAGACATGTTGAAGCCTTCATCTCCAGAAGCTGTGAACACGACCTTATGTGGAAGGATGGTCACTGCAGATGGAATGTGTTGCTTTACTCCAGTGTGACTGGTGTCTTGATAGGAGGAGAGGAAACAGGACCAAAGAGGAGACTGCATATGAAATGGCCACAAAGAAATGGAGCGATGCAGAGGATTGCCAGTCACTTCCAGATTCAAGGAGGAGGAGCAGAGAGGGCTTCCTGGGGCCTTCTGGGGACATGGCCCTGCTGAGGTCTTGATTTTGGACTTTCAACCTTCAGACCCATAAGTGCATCCCACCCATTTTGTTGTAGTTTGTTAACACCACCCAGTAAGCTACTGCGATGTTTGCTCCAATCAAACACCTTGGCTCATCCACCCATAGCAGCTTTTCTGCTGCTGAGCAGCCCGGCCTTGCTGATGTCGCCTGAAGACTTCAGTTATGAAGTCCCTGTGGATAAGGAACAGAAGTCATGTTTTTGAACTCTTATCTTTTTAGGAAATATCTTTATTTTTATATATTTTAAATTATTAGTGTATGTATTTATGTACACACCTGAGTACACAGAGGCCAGAAGAGTATGTCTGACCCCCTGGAGTTCCTGCTGGTTATGAGCCTCTCCGAGAAAGAAGTATGTGTTTTTAACTGCCAGCCATCTCTCCAGCTTCTTGGACACTTGTCCTAAGCATGGGATTCAGTACAAAGCAAGCTGTCACCTGCGGTGAGGAGCCGCATGCTTCCATGTAATAGATGCTGTAACTGATGCTTCAAGTCTTTAAAGAACTTGCCGAAGGCCCTTCTGCCAGAGTCCTTTGTGTTGCTGACACAGAACACCTGGTACTGGTTACTTTATTGAGCAGTTCATTGGGGGCCTCGGGAGACTGAGAAGTCTGAGAGGATGATGCCATATCCCCCTGGGTTCAAAACAGAAGGCCGAGGGTAGAGCAAGCACACAAAGATAAAACACAAGAGTGGCCTTGTTTCACCAACTTGCTGTCTTGTGAACTGGCCCGAGCCTGTGAGAACTTCAGTATTCCCTCTTAAGACCTAATCACCTGTCAGCACTGCCACGGGGCAAGGAACTTTCAGCTTAGACTGAAGTCATGTCCAGACCCCAGGAGTCATACATCTGTTAAGTGCTGGCACTCAGCTCGCGTTCCACAGGAACAGGAAGTGTGTCCGCACCAAGGTCACCACCACCTGCCTGACAGTTGGCTGTGAACACCCTCACTTCAGCAGAGCCCTCAGCAGCTCTCGGTGGTGGTCTCTTGTCATGTGAGGAACTGAGGCCTGGCACGGTTTAAATAGCTTACCCGGGATTCCACTGCTGCCAGCCTGCTGCTAGGCCTCGCTTTATTGCCCAGGTCTCTGTAAGCCGTTCAGACAATGCTTTGACTCGGTGTCTTCACCTTCTGGTGTCAGCCTTCCAAATCACAGCCACAGGTCCCTAGGGAGACACTACCAGCCTCTCAAGGTACAGCTGGTCAGGTTACCCCACAAGCTCCCTTTCCAGAGCCTGGTGCCCAGCCATGCCTGGCAGGGCTCCCATTGTCCTTCTCAAGGGTCTGCCTTAACTGAAATGAGTGGCGCCCATCCGTGGAGCTTTGTCTCCGTTAATCTGAGGGTTGAGTTGAGGGTTACCAAGCCGACGATACTTTGCAGTGTATCACCGCTCCCCAGAGATCCAGAATCAGCTTGTTAACCGCAGACTCTGGTGGCGCTGTTCTGCCTCCTCTACCTCCCTTCTTTCCCCCAGGAGCTGCTTCTGGAGGGGTTTGTTGCCAGGAGTGGTGGGGCATATCTGCAGTCCAAGTGGCCAGGAGGCTGAGGCAGGGCGATCTAGAGTTCAAGTTGCCAGACTGGGTTATACAGTGAGACCTTATCTAAAGAAAACCTATTTCAAGATTATGTATTTTATGGTTATAAATCTTTCTTAAATTAGGAGCATTTGAGGAGCCTGATACTAGTTTGCTTTATATATATATATATATATTTCACCCTGATGTCCTGCATGTCCCAAGTAGCATATAATATTGTTTAAAACTTCCTGTATCCCTGCTCAGAAATGAATGGGGATGCTCCTAGGGTTACATTTAGAATTATGATTGATTACCCACTGCTTCTTCTGTTGCTTATGGGAGGAGCTGGCTATGGAATATCCAGAAACACAGGAGAGCAAACTCAAAAAGCAGATACAAAAAAAAAAAAAAA